GATAGGCGAGATGCCTCTAGCGTACAAACTTTTCCGTTCGATGGAGACAAGACATTGCCCTGAACTGCTGGAATCCCATCGCGTCATTCGCTGTAAAGTTCCTCTTGGCGGGTTCCTCTTGTATCCGACAGACAACAGTGACAAGACTGATGTTGTCTTCTACATGAGCATCGCGCAGGATAACCCAAACAACCGTAGTGGCAACCCAGCACTGAACAATCCAATGCTGACACAGTGTAGTGACCGACAGTTCCGTGCATTTCAGAGCGTCGTGCGGCAAATGGCGTTGCAAATTGGTCGCTTGGATAACGCTGTGGATTCGTACAAAATGAGTCTACATCTTGAGTCTCTGCGCACTCTGCAGTGGGTTCACAACGCGGAGCGGAATGAGTGCGTCGTGTGCTTCAGAAGGTTCCACCAGCTCACTCGGCGTCGACATCACTGCCGGTTGTGCGGAGAAGTCATTTGCCGCGAGTGCTCAGTGCATAAGGACATTGATCTGCCTACATTTGGACCAACGGCACTGCGGATCTGTACCAGTTGCAACCAGATCCATTCGTCACGATCACAAGAAGCGAAAACATCCTCGTCGCAGTCACCTGAAAAGCCGCGAAGACGCCGAGGAACCTTAACACCAGACCACAGCATCGACAAGTCCAAGCCGCCAGCCTCTGAAGCGCCTCGTCGGCGGAGCAGCACGCTGGCTGGAGATAGCACCAAGAATGGTACGGACGACAGAAGAGCATTCGAGCTGGTTGAACGGGGGGTTGTTGAAGTTAGTCAGCGTCGAAAAGGTCACGAGCAGCCAGCTAGTTGTCCTAAGCCTGCAGCGTCACCAGCTATCGATCGTCGATACTTTGCAAACAAGTGGGGTGGTACTCGAATGATGAAGCAGTCCGTTGTTACGACAGCTCCTAACACTCCGAAGGCGCCGTCGCCTTTTGGGATTCATCGCTCATCTTCTGCGACTTTCTCGGCTTCTCCGCACAAGTCGATGATCACAAAAGAACGTCTAATATCCAAAGATGTTGATCCGGAAATTAATCATCGTGAAGATGAAGACAAATATGAGAGCTACGATGCCAACAGCGACTCAGAATGGAATCCTGAGTCTTCTCGAGCTCCAATCTACGCCGTGAAAAATGGCATCCTCATGGACAACAACTCACTCAAGAGTAATCAGCAGGCTACAGCGAGTGTGTCGCCTCTGGCTTCACAGCAGGACAGAGCTATGATCTACCGCAGCTTCGAGTCGCTGCAAATGTATGAAGACATTTTCCTCAAGCTCTGCGAGAACGCGGCTTCAGTTCGACGCTCCAAGTTCATCTACGGCTCTTCGTCAGATGAAGAGCAGCTACAACAGGAAGGGAATTCTCCGCTGTCTAACCAATTGGACACGAGTTCTGTGCCAGGCCCAC